TTTATTTTTTTAATTTTTTGTGTATTTGTTTTTATTTTGGAAATCAGCCCACACAGTCAGATTGGTTTCAACAACCATTATTTTAAAACTATTATATACAGTATTATGTATTTGTCTATTTCAAATGATGTATTTCATTACTGTATACATGTATGATATCTGTTAATTTCATCATGATACATTTCAGGATTTGCTCAAAGAAACTGCTTGGAATCTGGTGGTTGGGGTCCCCCTAATTATACCAATTGTAGAAGAATTAATTTGATTGGCTTGAAACGCGAAGTAAGTATAAAATATTTATCAGTCGAGCTATATTATTATTATTTTAAAACAAATATTGAAGTGGTACTGTTACAGTGAGACAGCTGCCATACTTAAGGAATATTACTTAGGTAAAAGTTATGTTATGTTTTGTAGACTGACGATGTTAAAGAAGGTAAATTAGTGACAACTCCAGAAAGAACACTAGAAACTCTAGCTAATCTAACAACAGATGGGGAACAGTTTGCAGCTGGTGATGTTGAAGTTTCAGTTCAGATATTGATGGATGTTGTTGATATTACTAATGATGACCCCAATGTTGTTATCGGCAAACCCGAATTAAAGGTATGTTTCATTCTTTGTTCACCGTTATCCAACTTCCCCACAAAATCATTTTAATTGTTTTAAGAGTAAAATCTCATGTAGCAATGGGAACGAAATTGTTCGTATGGTTTGTTGAGAAACGCTGTTCAGACCAATGGTATATTGATCCAAAGTTCACACTGCTGATGGCCAAATGTCACTACTTTTCTTGACTGACTTCTCCTAGAGAGTCTCAGAGTGTTTAGCTGTCGATCTGGACCCCACTTCCCCAAAAAACCTTGTAATAAATATTGATCTAAGAGTAACATCATTTAACATGTTGGACAGCATTGTGTTCTTGATGTCCACACTGCTGATAACTTTTTCGCGTGACTGGCTTCTCTTTGCTCTAATTATATAAATCGAATACCTATATTTAATGGTTTGAAAACTTAGCTATGTATTTTATTCTGTATTCATCTAGAATTTTGCCGAATCAGCGAGTAACATATTAGATGCTGATGATGAAGAATGGATAACTTTAGCTGAAGAGGTGAGATTTGTTAAATGCGAAGAAAAAATGAAACAAGACTTAGTAATGATGACACAAAACCTTAAGTTTTATTTAACCTTATTTCGCAAGCCCCTGTCTTTGTTAGTATAGATAAGGCATAACACGTTTCAAACACCTGATGTCGTTCTGCAGTTGGGTTGTCAACCACCTCCCTTAAGTCAAACTTAAAATCAGGTTAGGCCTAATTGTTATTTTGACATTACTTAAATCATATTCCTGAATAAATTAGACGGTAGCATTCATAGACATAGAAGACATCTGACGATCTCTGGCTGTTCTTTGGCAGGGTTATATTTAAAATGGACGAGATCGTTTTAGTTTTCGTGACCCATGATTTTAAATATCGGCGTATTTGTCTGTATTTGTAATAATATTACTGTTTTTCCCAGGGTAAGAGTGGAATAGCTGTGATGATGGACACTGTTGATGCAATGGCAAAACTCTCCAGTTCCAGACTAAAAAACTCAGAATCCATAACAGCTTCTACAGATAAAATGGGCGAGTAAAAGTTTTTTATTCAAAACTAAATCCAAGAAGTCTAATACGAGGTATGAATCCTCAGAACATGAATAAATCTTTATAACACCTTGTTAATAAATGCATGTATACGATCTCTTTTGTTACAGTAATTGAAATCGGGAGGTCTTCTAGTTTGACTGATATTGAATTTCCCAAACCAGCTGCATCAACTTATCCAGAATGGTTGAAATCCTCATCTAATAAAGCTTTAGTAAAGAAAGATACACTAGGCGACTATTATGAAGGTAAAATGATGTTATATTAGTTAGTTCATGATCATACACATATACAGACTGTGTTACTTGAAACGGGATATACATTTCTCGTAAGTACCATGTGCGCACAACTTTATATGCGTCTATTTATTTACTTGGATTATTGGCTGTTCTTTTGTGTCGACGAAAATAATTTAAACGGCTGTATCTTCTTGACAAGTGAATGTCGATGCCCAACAACTCTTCAAAACAATGATGTCTTCTGTGTAAACTCATATTGTTCTGATTGTATCTCATTTTCTATTTAGATAACAAAGATATAGGTTATAATGCCGTATTTTATAATGACATTTCGAAAATTGTTGAAGGCAAAATTCTGTATCCTGGGTATGTTTCATTGTTTTTGATAGAGAGATTCACAATGGTTGCATTGGCTGCAATGAACTTATACTTCATTTGTAAAAAAAAAACATTGCCCAATCATTCCATCTTTAGATTACAATAGTTATATTATATATAACAGATGACAAAATGTATTCATTTACCATGAAACCAACACTCCACCATATAATAGTACCTGATATAGATATGTTCCACCTAGCTTACTCAATTCTTGTTATTTCAGAGACACCATCGACAGTCAAAAGAATAAAACAGTAGATATCAACAGTAAAATATTAGCCTTCTCAATAAATCCACCACCAACAGGCAAACTAGATCCACCTATAGAACTTAGTTTTCAACATTTATCAGTAAGTTTTTTAGAGATAGATTGATGATCATTGGATAGTTTACTTGGAATATTGGAAACCGGATACAAATTATTAACAGAGTTGCTAATTGATAAATATCTAATATTCCAGTGGAATAAATCTGTTTTGGGTAGAACACATCCGTGGGGTGGCATGAAACATACCTATCTGAGAACCTTTTGGGAGTAATCTTGCAATCATCTTATTTATTGCCATTTGATAAGGTACATGCCACTTTTTCTGTAACCTGTAGATTTCATGGGTTCGCATATTTTTTACATAATTTTTTATTTCTAGGATAATTATTCATCTCCTACCTGCGTGTTCCTAGATCTGAAAGCTCCGTAAGTTTTAAACAAGTACATGTATTATATTATAGTTTTTTGTTAGGTAGGGAACGGTTTTACTTCTTTGTACAGGCCCAGAGATATTCAAATGAGGTTTCTAGTCTAGATTCGTATCGGGGACAATTGTAGCTTCTATGTTCATTATTCAGATTTTCTTTCCGACTTTTTATAAAAAAAAAAGAAATCTTCTGTCAGTAATATTTTTATTATAGATATGATAAGAGAGGACGGTGGTCAACTGAAGGTTGTAAGACAGAATCCACATCAAATCCTAATGTTACCATCTGTAAATGTGATCACTTAACTAACTTTGCTATACTGATGAGTCCTGGTAAAACGGTGAGATGAATAATATTGATACATAGTAATATGGTATTAGTCTGAATTTTAAGAAATTCTAATTAATTTTGATGTTTCTAGACATTTTTACTCAATAAACAGACCCGTAAACAGTATGATTGTTCGGAGGGGAGCTCATCCCGTCTCATACGCGTATGGCAAGAAGAGTTATCTAATGCAACTAATGCATTGACAATGTGTTTTATTACTCACGTATATTTTAATATATTTCAGCCAATTAAGCACATACAAGCGCTAAGTATAATATCAGCTGTTGGTTGCGCTATTTCAATGTGTTGTCTTCTGTTTACGATCGTTGTTTATGTTTATTTGTGGAGGTAACTTTCATTTACCATATTGAAAATTGCATCCCTTCGAGGAGAGCTCAAAATACACAAAAGAATAAAACCCTATTGATGATATTAGGATTAATCCTTATTTTTTTCTGTATGTAATAATAAGAAACATTCAATTATATCACAAATTCCCAAAAAGGGGAAACCAATAAAAACTATATTATTGTCCTGTTATTTGACGTTTCGGCTTACTGCCTTCTTCAGAAACACCCAAAATAGATCTCGATCAAATATGCTCTGCAAATTTTGTGCCTCAGACTATACAAAATTTGTAGCAGATACACATTTCACTAACAATACATGGGGTCTGGCAATTAAGATCCTAAACTTAATTTCTGCAGTGCCAAACATTTAATTTTCTATGTACAAATTGTAGATATGTAAAGAGTGATAAAGCTATTATACTACTGAATCTGTGTGTTACGTTGATTATAGCTTATATTATATTTCTCGTTGGTGTTAACAGAACAGATATAAAGGTACAGTTTATATCGTTTTATTAAAACTCCAGATAGATATTTGAAGAGAATGCTAACCTCTAATATTTCTAAACAGTGCAGTTCTTGTAGACCTGGTACCTTTAATGTTTTATATGTTTTTATTTTTTGCAATGAAACTTTCAGTTTTATAATGTTACATCTTGTTATTTTAGCCTTTTTGTCAGACAGTGGCTGTATTACTCCATTTCTTCTTTCTGGTGGTGTTTTTCTTGATGTTAGCAGAAGGTGTGGAGGTCTTTATTACTGTTGTTTATGAAATCTCGATTAAAATGGATCTTAGCTGGTAGTTGGGGTAAGATATGAACTTCAATTGAATTTAGTCTTGAATCTATTATATAACGTCCGAACAGTTAGAAAGTTAAAATCCCTTATCAACCCAAGTTAATTTTGACACCCAGTTACTTTTTTCTCCTGTGTATTGTTTAGCGTTACTCTTTCACCCGTTACATATATAGCCAATTGGGCACCTCTTCACTGGCTAATCATTAATATTGTTGATATTCTATGATTATATTTACTATGGTATATTATAGGTATTCCTGTGATCATAATTGGTGTATCATTAGCTGTCACCCAATTAGAAGGTTATGGAAATGATGATTAGTAAGTTAGTTACCTGTATTATAAAATAGCCATTTAACATTAATACACGAGTAAATGAATTTTTCCCAATTTTATGGAGGAATGGATGCGCATTATATTCACAATTATACGGAACCTACAAATAGTAATAGTTGGTAAGTATCATTGCATTGTTCTCTTAATATGTACATTAGCTTAGTTTGATTACATATCCACTCTGACCATCATGTTTCAAGTTAAAACTTGATTTTATTTTGAAATTTCTCTTTTAGTTGTTGGTTGTCGTTAGAATCTGGATTATTGTGGGCATTTGTGGGTCCTGCTTTAGCTGTTATATTGGTAAGTATAATCTTAATAATCTTTAGCTGTTATTTTGGTAAGTATATTATTAGTAATCTTTAGATGTTATATTGGTAAGTAGGCTATAATCTTTAGTTGTTATTTTGGCAAGTATAATATTAGTAATCTTTAGCTGTTATTTTGGTAAGTATAATCTTATTAATCTTTAGCTGTTATATTGGTAAGTAGGCTATAATCTTTAGCTGTTATTTTGGCAAGTATAATATTAGTAATCTTTAGCTGTTATTTTGGTAAGTATAATCTTATTAATCTTTAGCTGTTATATTGGTAAGTAGGCTATAATCTTTAGCTGTTCTTTTGGCAAGTATAATCTTAGTGATCTTTAGCTGTTATTTTGGTAAGTATATTATTAGCAGTCTGTTGAAATCTAGTGATTTAAACTATGTCCAAAGTCGATATTGTGACAAAACTGTACTAAACGTTATGTATACCTTGTTGAAGATTCAAGTAGCGGTGCCAGTCTCCTGTACCTGGGGGTACAACAATGGGAAAGTCTAAATGTCACAGTTGAAATTCCAAATGTGGAAGCGCCATAGAGAATCTGGGGTGAAAGTTATGAATTATACTATTTATATATTTTTGTAGGTAAATACGATAATAATGATTAAGGTATTAACAGTTATGTTTAGTACAACTACCATGGTGACTAAAAGTATGAAAGAAAAGGGGAGGTACGTTAGTTAATTTTGGTATTTTTATAATACCGCGAAAGTGGTTGGCGTGCTCCACATCAGCATTGTTTAAATGAAAGGGATTGGCCAGGTGATAAAAATTAAAGAGGGTGATATTGAAAGATTTGAGCCTCATTGTCATTAATAGCGCTCGGGTATTTTATGAAAGACTGCCCTTTTACCTCAGATCTGATCGTTGTTTTTCAGTCACGATGCTTTCAATCAATGCTTTATGAATATGTTGTATGATACAGGTCATCTATTTTAGAACTGTATTAAAGGCACTGTGTGTATATAAATAATTACATCTATTTTAGAACTGGATTAAAGGCACTGTGTGTATTATTACCAATAATTAGTTAACATCTATTTTAGAACTGTATTAAAGGCACTGTGTGTATTACTACTAATAATTAGTTACATCTATTTTAGAACTGGATTAAAGGCACTGTGTGTATTACTACCAATAATTAGTTAACATCTATTTTAGAACTGGATTAAAGGAACTGTGTGTATTACTACCAATAATTAGTTAACATCTATTTTAGAACTGTATTAAAGGCACTGTGTGTATTACTACCAATAATTAGTTGACATCTATTTTAGAACTGGATTAAAGGAACTGTGTGTATTACTACCAATAATTAGTTAACATCTATTTTAGAACTGTATTAAAGGCACTGTGTGTATTACTACTAATAATTAGTTAACATCTATTTTAGAACTGGATTAAAGGCAATGTGTGTATTATTACTAATAATTAGTCAACATCTATTTTAGAACTGGATTAAAGGCAATGTGTGTATTACTACTAATAATTAGTTAACATCTATTTTAGAACTGGATTTAAGGCACTGTGTGTTTTACTACTAATAATTAGTTAACATCTATTTTAGAACTGGATTAAAGGAACTGTGTGTATTACTACCAATAATTAGTTAACATCTATTTTAGAACTGTATTAAAGGCACTGTGTGTATTACTATCAATAATTAGTTAACATCTATTTTAGAACTGTATTAAAGGCACTGTGTGTATTACTATCAATAATTAGTTAACATCTATTTTAGAACTGTATTAAAGGCACTGTGTGTATTACTATCAATAATTAGTTAACATCTATTTTAGAACTGTATTAAAGGCACTGTGTGTATTACTATCAATAATTAGTTAACATGTATTTTAGAACTGGATTAAAGGCACTGTGTGTATTACTACTAATAATTAGTTAACATGTATTTTAGAAGAACTGGATTAAAGGCACTGTGTGTATTACTATCAATAATTA